GCCCGGCTTCACCCCCCCGCCCGGCAGCACCATGACCCCCCCGCCCAGCACGCCCAACCCCTACGCCCGCAACCGGCCTCCCTTCGGCCCCCAGGGCTACACCCAGCCGGGACCTGGCTACCGGTAAGGAGGTGCCGCCGAACACGGGCGACTGGCACGTACGATTCCATCCCGACAGACTCCAGGATTTTTAAATGAGAGTCCAAAACTGTAATGAGGCAAAACCATAGCTGTTAATTAAATTCTGCTGGGGGGAGGGGAACGACCAAAGGAGTCTTTCCTGCTTTAAATTGTATCTGCTTCCTAGTTTAATTTGGGGCCGGGCCGTTTTTGGGAAACACTACCTAAATGTCTGTGAAGTGATCGACACTCTAGCTTGCCTTGTTTGAAGGATACGAAGATGCTGGTCGGAAGCTTAGCCCACTTACCAGGCTTGTTTTTACTAATACCGTGATGTACTAAATTAGATTCATTCTGGAGGTAAAACTAGACATGATGTATCATAAATTGTAATGCTCACATGGAAAACTAATAAAAACCCTGAATCTATTAAATGCCTGATCCTGATTTTAGAATTTAGCACCGTTTTCTTGTTTGGTATTACCTAAGAGAAGCGTGCGTTCTGGCTGTACAGGTACCGAGGTAAAGATCAGCGGTGCTCGCGTTTGTAGGAGAGACAGATTTTTAGGTGTGTAAATGGAGAAATGTTGCGAATACAGATTGCTTTTGCAGAGGTTACGCCGCAGTAGATGGTTTTGCACTGTCTGCTGTTAGTAACTGCCAAGTAACCCTCTCACCAAATGAGTAAGAACCGATACATCAAACCTCAGAGCCCCTTACCAATTTCACTTTTGATGAGGGTGGGGGGAGAATCGGTTTATTGGTTGAAAATGTAAGCCAAATACTTATTTTTAAAAAAGAACTCTTAAAAAGGAGCAGCTTTCCACAGGTTCTTTGCCACCCAGAAAAACGTGGGAGTGCAATTCTAGCGACTCGATTTTGAGCCAAGAAAAAGCAGATCAAGAGCTGTAACAAAGTCAATTAGACCATATAACAGCAGAGGGCAAAACATTCTCCCGGTTAATATTTTCCACCCTAGGGATTCTAGGAATACATAACACTAAGTAGGGAATAAAAGAAATGAACTGGAGCAAGCTGCTTGAACTCTCATGAAGACAAATGAGGAAATAAAGCGAGTGAAAATATTCCTACCTTCAGCATCCTTAAATATTGCTGCTCCCAGATCAGCCGCGCTCTCCAGTAAAAGCCATAGCTGTAACTCCTGCTCTCTGTGCTCTGGCCAGACCTAACGCGTCAGGTGTTCACCACACCGCTTAACACGGGCCTGTTTCAGAACAAACTGCTTCCTGAAATAATAGCATTTGCCGCAGGAACGAATACGTGTTTTCATGTAAAACACTAAGAAAAACACTTGATTAAAAAATACTTTATTAGGAGTACAGTGTACCTGCAATGTACTTTATAAGGCATTTTCTATAAAGGGCTATTTCTACTATATATATATCTGGGTGTTCCTGTTCATGTTTTTTTCAATACATTAGTAATGTAATGAATAACACCTTTAAAAAAAAAACCCCGACATCTCTTTATTTAGTTCATAAATGTTCAAGCAGTACAACAAGTAGCTTTGGGAGAGGTTTTAATCAAAGTTACCGTAAAGCAGTTAAAGTTCAGTTACCACTATTTCCCCTTTGTCCCCAATGAACAATGTTTTAAATCTTTTTTTTTTTTTTAAATAAAATAAACCTGATTATGCTGTTATAAGTAGCTTATTTTTTCCCCGTTTCATTTATCTTTCCAAGTCGTTTTAAATCTTTTTTTTTTTTAAATAAAATAAACCTGATTATGCTGTTATAAGTAGCTTATTTTTTCCCCGTTTCATTTATCTTTCCAAGTCCCCCTGCACTGTAGGTACATTCGGCTTTTGAACCAGTAAGTCTCGGTCTCCGAACACTACATCGTCGTGCAAAGCCACAGCAGTGGAGGCCGGTTTCATTTTCTTACTCCGTGTAGGTACGATGTACCTGTCTGCTTTAACCGGCGGAAACCAAACCCACCGACCAGCCACTGCCCAGCTCAGGGGAGTGGCTCTAGCTCCGTAGCGGCAGGCTGCACATACTGTTCTGCTGGAGCTGAAGCATTTGAAAACAAACATGGAAAAAACCCCACTAACCTGATAGTTTAAAGCGGCACGTATAGCAACCTACCTCAGCGTTTTGGCAGGAGTATAGACTGTTTGTACATGGAAGGAGAAGGCGGTTCAAGTTTACTGGTTGCAGGATATTAAAAATTGTAGGGGCGTTTCTATAATTTACGACTGGGGAGACATTACAGATCTATCTGGACAGGTAGCTTATGGCACTTGTAAGAAGACCAGTGACTATTTAAAAACTAACGCACGTTGCATTCCATGACCAACTCTGCCGTAACTGTGCCTTAAACATTTATTACAACATTGTGATAAATAATATACACACCGTATCTTTTAAAATACCATATAAACCATACCTCAAGAATAGGGAGCCAGCTTCCCTATACATTATCCTACAACATGTCCCTAGCCTGTTTGGGATTTTTTTTAATCTAAAAACAAATTGGTAAAACTGGATAACTACAGTAAGCAGCCTACGCTATTACACAATTAATGCAGTATTGGCATTAGACTTGTATAAACCCTTGCACATCAGCAAACTTATTGAAGTGCCAGGCATACCATAAACATTTCCACCTTTGAGCCTGCGTTGGGCAGTCGGACGGGGGCGGTAAGTGCTGGGCCTCTTCACCAAGTTCATGTCGCATCTACCATTTCCCAGGTATTGACGTTCCACACTCGTACCAGCGAACATAGTTAATGTGAGTCTCCCCGCCTATTTTTCCAAATTTGACAGGTTCCTGACGAACTGCCCTGAAAAATCCTGGAAGAGAGAACAGTCTTGCTTGCATGAAGCCCTCAGACAGTACCTTCCGTTGATTTCCCTGTGAAGGCTGTATACGGTTCCGCTAATGGCTAAGCTAGTCACCACGCTGTCAAGCCATCTGCCACAAGCAGGTCTGTTTGCTGCCCCTACATACCGGTTAGCGCTCTGAAACAGCTGGCATTTGTCCACCCAACCCAAACAAAAGCAGGAGCGCGTGGCATTGCTGCAGCCCAGACCAGAGGAGGTGAACCCTGCCTCCCCTTGAGACTTGTGATCCCAGCACCAGCCCGTGGATGGTGGCTGGCCGGGCGAGGCCGGTGCCCCCTCCTTCCCCCCCTCTGGCTGCTGCTGGGGTCGTCTTTAAACAGGAGGTTGTTCCTCCTTGCAAAGTTACAGTGATTAACTGCAGTAGCCTTAACGTTCCAGCGAACCTAAATAAAACTTTCACACTTATCTCCCCCTCCCCAAGCGAAAGATCCTACCTCCTGCTTTAAATCTGTTCTGTGTGACAATACACCTGCTTCCCATTCAAACAGTTAACATCATTAAAAATTACCGTGAGCAATCAGTGCTGAATCCAACCTGATCATCAGAAATGTACGTGTGGCTAAAGCATGCATGTGTGCACACGCACATAAATATTGTTCTGCAACTAATACGCAACAGCAGTCATGATGCCATCCCTGCACTTCAGGTCAAATATATGTGGTTAATTCTGGTTTGAACAGAACTCAACTTGCTGCAGCCAGGGAGGAACTGAGCAGCAATGGACAATCTGTTCCTTCCTCTGTTCAGTTCACTTACTAGAAGTACAAGCTACAGAAAAGGTGGGGGCTTTTTTTGTTTGATTGTTTCATTGGGGGTTTTTTTGGTTTTGTTTTTTTTTCTAACAAGGAATGTAGCTCATGAATCCACTCAGTTAAATCCAGTCGCTGAAAACAAATCGGTTTTAGCTGTCTTTTAAGCTGGGGTGGCAAGCTTTTTATGTAAAAGGTGTGGGGTTTTTTTTATTTTTAAAATCTTTTTAAAAAAGTGAATCTGGTACACCTGAGAGGTCTGCTGTCCTGGCAACGCCAAATTGGATTCAGACAATCCTTTACACAAACAAAATGCCATTACAAATGGGCAACACTGACTGGGAAAAGAAAAGCAAAGCTCTCTTTAAAGAAAAAAAAAAAAAAATCACATATCACATAAGCAAACACCTTTCAGATCGTTCACCTACTTTGTTTTCAGAGAAACTTGTGAAAGATTTAGGCACTTCACTTCAATCTCCCACAGCTACCTCACTGCATTTCTGTACTTCTGTACAGTGTTTTACAAATGAAGCACTACAGACGGGAAGGTTTGGTCAACACACTGAAATTGTACTGAAAACCGTTTTGGTATTTTTCTCAGTAAAATACTCCATGACACACTCAGCATGCCCGCGTGTATCAATACAGCCTGCATTCTTACCCCACAAGGGAAAGGAATACCTCACACTGGCACTGCTGCCAACAGCCGAGGCAGGAGTTCAGCTGACAGAAGTACAATTTTCTTATGCTCGAGCCTCAGCAACATGTGAAAAATAGTCAGGCAGGTCACAGCTGCATTTAGGACATCCAGTCCCATGCCCGCTTAGGCCAGACTGGAATTCTAGGCACCCGGTTCAAATAAGTGCACACAAAATTACTGCAGCATGAATTATATTTTCCAGTAATAAGTTTTTAGTTTCTCATTAGCGCTAAACAAAGCTGTTTAATGCCCAATGGATGATTTACTGCACTTTAAATCAACCTTGCTAGTTTGAACATAACACTTCATGCCTCTCTGCAAACTCAAATCTGTGGTTGGGTTTAAAAAAGTAATACCAACTGTGAATAATCTGTTGGAATGGTTTAAACAGGAGAGAGGCTGGGGACTACCCAACAGACCCGAATCATAACCTTCTTGTAAGAAGTCATTGCTCATCTTCAAAAACTTCTCGACTCTTTTCTGCCTGCAGCCGGCAGTCCCTTTCCATCGCCCACCTCAGCAGTGGGCGCTGAATCCACTGGCAGGAAAAAGAAACACACAAACAAAGGAATTGCCAAGGTTTGCTACAGAGACAGGCGTAAGGAATTACCATCTTTGACTGGTAGATCTTCTTGCTGTCCTGTCCTTCCATCTAAGAATGAGTCTACAAATTGGCAGTGATCTTCTCCGTGGCCCCTCTGGTCTCCTATGTTATAAAATTTTCCTGAAAGCAAAGAAGCGGCAAAGTTGAAAATCCATACCCAGTTTAGTGAGGGCTATTTCCAAAGTCCACCAGAGGCAATGGGCAATGCTCTTCGCTCTGTGGGGAAGCCAAGGTGAATGCTACGATTCTTTTCCTCTTAGGGCCCGTAGCTGTAACTTGAACATTATGTGCATACTCCAAGTACAGGGCTCATGGCTGCAGACAAAAGTGCCCCATTCCTGGCCAAAATCGATGCCTCGATACATTTTTTTTCTCCTCCCTACATTTCATACAGTAAGTGAAATTCTGTTATTACCTAGACACTCACCCTGATGGTATCAAAAATGAGGTAAGTTTTGCCAGTGATTTGAATGGAAGGCAGGTTTAGTTCCCTGTCAGGAAGCCCCCAGTACCTTCGAAGACATTTTTATAGACCACCTCGTAACACAGCCAAGGCCTGTTTTATAAATCATCATCTTTTTACAACATGTATGTGCAAGTGATATCCTTTAACAAATAGATGACCTCGGTATAGTAACTGCTTATCCAGAGCATGAAGCGTGCCCGTGTATTTATTTGCAGGATTGCTTAACAGGACACTTTTCTGCAACTGAGTAGAAAACAAGGTCTCAAGTGCCCGATGCAGCGTGAGCTGACGTTACGGGCTGTGCTCATCCTGTTAACAAGAGGACTCGCAGTGAAAGAGCTTTGACAGAGAGATGTTTTTACTTACTGATTTGATTTGCAAGCCATTAGTAAAATTCTGTTCAGAAGATGGAGAAAAGCATGCTACCTTCTCTTCCCGAGCCTTGGCAGGAAACTTTCAGATAAACTTACTGTTTTTTCTAAACTCCTTTCACAGCACTTGTTCTTAACATGTTCAACCTTTGGTTGTGAAGTTGAAAGGAAAGGTGAGAACATTTAGAAATAGGCTCAGTACTCGGGTATAAGCCAAGTGGAAAGTCCAGTTACTCGTTAGATGTTGGGTGTCCTGTAGCCTTGAATCTGTGCCAGTCTGGCCATTTGAGAGATGGTGAGGTGGCTTATAATACTGCTCCCTAAAGTGCAATTAATAGAAGAGCAGGCTACCAATAAACTCTCTCTTTCTCATATTTTTGTGATCTGATCAATACTTTGCCAAAAAGTCTCACCTCCAGTTGACGGTCTCTGTGCATGCAGTTCTTCTCTAGCTTTAGAAAATTATTTATTACTATCTAGTTTTGGCTTGCAGGCATGTTTTTTCCATAGGAGAACTGGTCAGAGGGAGTTCCTCTCAGCAATTTTTTTGTCTGAGATTAAGAACATTCAGGCTGCCCAAAACGGCATTTTTTTTTTCCATGGCTGTTGAAGGTCACACTTAGAATTTATTTTTTTCCTCCCCTCAATAAATACTTATTTTTAGGTAGCCTGCTTTTCTGGAATGCCTACAGTGACTGCTCTGGAGGACTGTTAAATGAGGTCAGCAGTAGATGCTGGTTTATAGAACAGTCCTGGCATGTGTAACGTAGATCAGTTTTTCTTCATGAGAGACAGAATAAACCAGATATTTTTATGGCTAACACAAGAACAGTAACTTTCCAATACACACATACTCTAGCCCACAGCGTAACCTATGCATAATTCAGACAATCGCTATACATAAACTAGCAGCATTCTCAGTGACTATTAAATTCTTACTGCCCGATTCTTTCCATAAGAAAGGAGCACGCTTAAAAACATTTAGCTAACAAATGAGTAGATTAATCTTTCTCTTTTGGGGATAGCAAGTCTAGCATAAAGTAAATTATTTTTCTTCCCAGTGTTCCCTTATGGGTGGTCTTCAGAAAATTAGATACCATCTTTGGTTTATACATTGTGAATTCTGCAACACTAGAAGTATAAATTCGTGCTAAAGACCAGCATGCGAAGATACAGTTGTTGGCTGCCTTATACAACAGCATCTGTACAATGCACCCAAATTTCAAGATCATTACGCTGCTTAAACAGCAAAGCCTCGGAAGATGTTTTCACCGTAAGGTGGAACTTGGACCTCAGCGCAGCCCTTCACTACCGGCACACGTCGCCCAGCTGGCTGGTGCTAGCAGATACACTCCCGCTGGCCTCAGGGGCACGATGAGACAAGGTGTGACAGTGAAACACATCAGAACGGCGTTTGGCTTCAAACTGGAAGCCTTCTCACTTGCATATAGAGGCCCGTGCCATGACAGTCTCGCTTCGGAAACGGGGGAAAAGCAGCTTTGCTTCTACATAAATATTTCAATTCTTCCAAATATTGTGACAACTGGTCAGCACCGGTTCTAACAATTCAAGTGCAAGAACCAGGCTTAGCAAGTATAATGAATACAATGTGGCTACCATCATCTTTCTCCAGCCAAGTTAAATCACCGCCCTTCCAGCAAGAACGAAAACAATCTAATGAAAATAGGAAAATGGGCTCCTGATATATTAAACTTTTCTTCTAAGATTGAAGTAGCTTTCACTGCAGTGTTAATTCACTTGATTTAGGGCTGACGTCTAGTCCTGCTAGATTAGCACTGCTATTTCCTCTACTGGCTGGTTTTGTGATACCCTATGCCTCGTTGCCAGTGTTTGTCATTTGATCACAGCTGGTTAGTACAGCAGCAGTTGAATGAATGATACCTCTGTTCAAAATAGCCTCTTTTATTCACGTAATTGCCAAGGTATTATTTACGTATGAGGTATTGTACTTACTACTAACGACAGGGCTTTCCTTCCTTGTCTGCTCATGGGAGAATGGTGCCGGGTGCAAGGCCGGGCAGCTTAAAATTATGTCGGCATGGGCTGCCCTACACTCCCCTGCTCTTTTCTTCCCATGTTCCTGCATACAGAGAGACCAGAGCCCTGCTCCTGTGAGGTGCCGAGCTCTGAGATGGGGCAACTTTGGGTTATGAAAGTTGATTCTTTCAGCCACAGTTTCTCCTAGTTAATTCAATCCAGTGGGATGAACATACTGCCTAACTTGCACTCAAAAGACATTTCCCATACACAGTTGTATCATACTCTTTGTGCTCTGGATGCCATACTAACGCCATTGTGATAGAGTTGTCCATGCCACTCTGATAAAAGACCTCAGACAGAAGAAAGCCAGGAGCTTGGGATGGATTATAAGAAGATAACATATTTCTAAATATAGCTTGTACAATCTACATGAGACACAAAGTTCTGCTTAACTATCAGGTAACTGAAAAACACTTTTTACAGGCTGTTTCCCCAGCTTACACACAGCATGTGTCACTTGATTCAGGTCTTAAATACATCACACTCTAGTGACCTTAAGACACTGAACAAAACTTGAGAAGATAAGGCCAGGAGGCTGCTGTTAGTAATAAAACTTAATATAAAAAAAAGAAGAGGGGGGAAGAGATTATAAGCAAGAATGGGGAATGTGAAAACAAAACAAAAATGTCAAAGCAGGCGAGTAAAACCTGTTGACTAGAGTTGAAGTCGTGTTTATAAGCCTCACAGTAACGAAGCAACCAGATGTTTACCAAATGGGATGGGAATGACTGAGTCTAATCCTGGTCTAAAATTAGGTCCTAATCCTCTAATTAAGAATTATTCCAGTCTACCCTTTGAATACAAATTTGGCACCGTTACAATATGTGCTATTCACTGGCAGAGACCTGAACTTTATCAAATTTCTGTATGACTCCCAGGATACTAACAAGTACTTAAAATCAGATGATCACCACAGAGAAGTAACTCTTCAGTCTGAAAATTCAATATCAAACACATCAATGATTACTGAGCACAAGCAGATTACTGTTTATGATTAATCTGTCTATGGACTAGATTAAACATACCTGATCACACTTCAACAGAGCTCGTCTTGTTAAAACTCTTAGTTCTGGAATGTCTCTTACCTGTAAGTGAATCACTGAGGTATATCTTGTATCTCAAAGAATTACACAGCTGCACACCTACGAACTTCTTATACCAAGTCCTCTTTACATATTGTTTCCCTTTGCATTCTGAATAGGTGTCCGAATTGAATGGGATTTCAGTCCAGATAGCATCCTTTCCCACTGCAGGAGAGGAAGAAAGAGGCTGAAGTATGATGCTGCATACAAAATTATGTACAACAAATATATTCAAATAAATAGAATTAGAAACCTTGATGGAGCAGAATGCACCATGGCACCAGTCACCTGCATTTTGACCATGAAAGATATTTCAGGGAAGCGCCGAAGGTTGCAGATATAATTGATGCAGTGAACTGCTTCTGCTCTCTGTGTGTGGTGCCAGTTTGGAATAAGTTCATTCTCGGACCTTTCTAGGGGGACAATGTCTGTGTGTTGGCCCTACTCTCATTTACAACGTGTGTGATACAGTCACTGTTTTACAGTGGGTTCAAGCCAGGACAGTCAACTTGAGCAAACTGTATGTGATTTAACAAAAATACGCATAAAAATTAAGTGTCATGAATTATGTGGAAAGAAATGGTGTCTCCGTGTTTGTCAGTCATGTCCATTACAAATGCAAAAAGCAGCCCAATTTGCTTGAGTGATCTTAGCTGTTCTTCAAAAGCTCAGTCCACTTCCCACCAAAGACAGCAAGAGTCTTTTAAGTGGCCTAAAGCAGAGCTGGATCAAGCCTTCAGGAGCAGAAAGTTTTTCTACAACACAATGGCAGATAAATGGTATCCTCCGACTTGTGCTCTGTTAACTCACTTAAAAAGTGTGGAGTAGCTTATTCATTTTACAGAGCTTTCTTTTGCTTTAATGACAAGGCTGAGAAAATATGAGGCTGTCCTTGGCTCATTTGTGTACATTGGTCTGAAGCCATCCCAGCTGCCATGGGAGCACCACATCACGTTGATTGCGTTCTGCTCAGGTAAACAAGCAGCCTGGCATGAATTCCTTACCAGGGGTATGGGTGGAAGGAATGAAATCATGTGTGAATGCTGTTTGATTCCATAACACATTTAATTGGTGCAGTACAGCCACCCTCCTTGTAAAATTATGCTATCCCATTTCTGAAAAAAATCCTGATCAGAAGACACTATACTATACATAAAAGGCTTACCTGAAATTGGCTCACTCACTCTTGGGTCCGCTGGGGGAAGAAAACAAACATTCAATCAGACACTGTAAAATGAACTTTCCCAATATTTAAATGGAAAAGCATTGGTAAGTGATTTTCTACAGTTGACATAAGCTGTAATTTGTGAAACAGAGAGAGTTTTGGAAGCAAAGTTCACTTTTGTATTAAATTAAATTAAAAGAAATATATTTCTTACGTGAAACTACAGTACCAATGAGCTTTTAAAAATTTTACTTATGGGCCAATACCTGTCAAACACAGTTCTAGTAAAAACAAGAGTTTAAACCTGTAACCAGCAAAACCCAGTTCTACTGCATCTTTTTTAAAATTTCAATTTCAAAACTTAAATAATAAAAAGGACCCCTCTGTAATACTTGCCACACAAAACTTGGCTATGAAAGCCTAAAAGTGAGAAATGGATGTGTGCAATTAAGAAAAAATAAAACTGGCTGCTTAGTCCAAGCTAAATAGGACACAGAACATAAGCCTTGTCATTCATGAAAACTGCACTTGGCATAAACATTTTTTCAGTTTTAACAATCTAGGATTACAAAGAGTGTATTCACAGTTTTTAAATATGTGTGGCATAGTCTGAACTCCTCCCTGACTAATCCCTTGCTCAGCCAAAACTCTCGTCCATCAGTGACAGCACTAGAAGAGGACTATTATATTATTACATCTGGCTGAAAATGCAGATTGAGAAAGTCCTTTTAAAAATGCTAAATCCATCTTGTGTTTTATATGGTCCTTAAGTACTATCAAGCAATAAACACTTCTACACAAAAGATGGTGTCTTGCTTGTATAAAGTCAACAAGTCAGCTGTAGTTAGTCTCATGGGGAACTGGAACAGGGAAAGCAGAGGCACTCTCTGATTCTCACCTCTGAGTCAGATAGGACTTAACTTGGGAACCAATCAATAGTCAAAATAGGCTTGTATACACCTCTCTAACAGTTTCACAGGAGAGTAAACACGATGGAAGAGGACATACTGGGACATTGACTTTTCCCAACTGCTATTTCTCAATCCTTATTTCAGCCAAAAGACATCACTATTATACAGCAGCCTTATTGAACAGGTAGCAGAAGTGCCTATAAACACACCAGCCCAAAGAAAAAACCTTATGTTCCCCATCCAGAAGTCATTAATGAGTTTGATAGATACAAAAAGGTCAGGAATATTAATCTTAAGTGACTGAGCCTTCTCTAAGGATACAGTTAGTTTCTTCATAATGAACACCAGATCAACTCTCTGTGCTCCTGTTTTTTTCTCCTGCAGTCTGGCCATCTTACATCCTCACACAATATAGCCCTGATCTCAGGCTGACCTTCCAGGCACTACCGTAACATGCTCAGTAGTAAAAAGCCAATCTGGAGGCAGTAAAGAGCAAGACCAAACGCACAAAAAGAAGCAAGAGATCCTTTCATACATCCTACAAACATGGATCCTAGAGCCACTGTAAATGATGGTCGGACCTTTGGAAGTTCTTACCTGATTCAGTACTGAATGCCACAACATTGCTACTTGGACCTTCACCAAGAGGGTTTCTAGGTTTCACGTGGAATTCATAACTGGGGAATAAAATAGAAGAGATGATGAAAATTTTGCAAACCAAGGATTCTTGCAGAGTCTGGAGCAAGCAAACTGCCAACACACACCTTGGTGCTACTCGTCTCCTGGAGAAGAACAAAAAGGCCTCATTTCTTGCTCTGAAAACACTGAGACATTCTTAGTCCTAACTGTATAAGGCCTCTCTGAACACATAATTTACCAGTCCTTTTGATGATTCTTTGCACACATACTATTAATGTTTGATTTAATGCACCACTGGTTTAAGCCTGTCTCCTCTCACACATGCAGTTTCAGTTCTGGCAAAGGGAGTGGTTCAGGTGAGGTCAGAAGCAATCTGATTGCTTATCAGAGATTGAGTAAAGCACACTGCTATTTATTTGCACATTTTTCATTCATAAGAACACAAACCTCCAATTCAATGCCTCTCAGGCCCACCAACAGCGTCAGACAGGGCCAGTGGTGAAACACAAGGCATGTCTTCCAGGACAGGAGCTCAGCCAAGGCAAAGATCCAATTGCTTGAATATATGTTAATAGTAAATATATGAAGTAGTGAAAATATATTGTGCAGCGTCTCTTTCTTATCTTTTCATAGTAATGTTGCACAACACCAGTCTGTACTGTAGTTATCTCATGATCCCTCTTCATCACAGCTGTGTTGGGAACCAAACACCGTGCTATGAAAACGGAACAAGATTGAAGAAAAAAATCCAAGCCAGGCTCCTCTGCTTAAGCCTCTCCCACCCCTCAATACTTGATTAACAGTGATGGACAGGCAAGACAAGGTGATTTCTAACTCTGCAGCTCAGCCGAAACTTACACTTTCAATTAGAAGCTCTAGGTAAACAGCTATTGAAAGACAGTTGCAAACCTAAAAATGTTACACAGAAGACACCAGACGGATGAGTCAGGAAAGAGAGTTACAAGGGTGGACACTGGACACCGCTAGGATCTTACATCAAGGGCCGAGCTAGGAACAGACTCTGTATTTCCTTCCTCCCAGCACACACTATCCCAGCAAGCCACTTCTCAGGTCTCCTGGCCCCAGGCTGGCAGCACCTGGGAATTTCTCACTGCTCAGCAACGGCTCAGTGCCTCCCTGTAGGACCTGCATGCCCTCCATGCCAAAGCACCCTGATGAGTAGCATATATACACCCAGTCAACAGCACACTCTTCATGCCTTCCCCACGAGCTATAGGCAATAATCTGTCCCACGCGTGCCACCTACAGAGAGACTTTTCATATGCTTTGAGTGCATATACGGTGAACGTCTCCTAACACAGAGCGTTTTTTCATCAGCGAGAAAGATCCATAGGACACGAGTCAAAAGGACTGTAGGCCTGGAAAATGGGCCCTAACTTAGAGACTAAACACAGAGCAAAATGAGAATCCCAGAAGTGGGCAATTAAACATCCAGCTCTTGACTTGTGAAGGATCACTTACCAATGATAACTTGGTAGCTCATGACTATAACATAGCATTGTAATGTATGGCTGAAATTGTTTCCAAACAGCAATTTTCTAAAGAAAAAAACATACCGCTCTCTGCACGGTTGGAAATTTGTAAACTTCATTTGCAAGTCCCTACAAGAGACAGAATAATTCAATCCAAACTTTGGATTACCTCTCATTGCTTCTTGGCTTCTGCAAAACCTGAACAGCTCGCTAATTAACCTCAGTGGACTAATCATGCAGTACCAAGCAACTGTTTTCCATCCACAGTACTTCTAAGACAATATTTAACTTTGAAATTGCTTACATAAGCAATTGCCTTTATTTCTAGGGGTTTCTTTCCTTTTTTAAACGAAATACTTACAAAGATTGGTATGCTAACAGATGCATTGTGGATAATTCGTGGATATTTCTAAGTGAAACATGGGCTTGTTTTGAGCTCTAAAAAGTCTATTTGGAGTAATCTTAACATTTATTCAAACATGCTGCAAGACCATTTTGAGCAACTGACATTACCCTACTGTAGAAGGGAGACATTAAATAAATAATAAATTAAATAGTAAGTTCTAGACACAAAATCTTCTTCATGATCAACTTCAAATCGTTTAAACAAATACATGCTTTTAAAGATTGGATCTCAGCAGTTAATGTTCACACTGGGCATGTGGTACAGTAACTTTTTTGGTCAAGAAGTATTCTCATCTGGTGGGAAAGGTCGTTATCCAGAGAATGGTAGCAGAGCAGTTGGAGATTCCTTCTGAAGAATCACTGAAGCATAAATGAAGATTTGCTAATACATCGGGTTTTTTAAAGTAATAGCTAGAAGATACATTTCAGACAATGTACAAATTAATGCATGCCTAGAGAGAAAAGACTCCAGAGAAGTTTTCCTGCTTCCTTCACAGCAGGAACACCTTATCTAGAGCTATTGTAATTTTGATCATTGATAGCTCAACATGGTATGTTCTATTGCTTTACTGGGAGTTTATGGTTTGACCTTATGGATGATAATAATCTGTTTATGTCCCTTTGTATGAAATCAAAAGGGAAATATGAAGAGCACTGCTTAGGATTCCTGACCTAGAGTTTTTTTGATTCCATAGGATTAGCTACAAGGAAAGGACAAAACCTGAGCAGGTGAAATGCTCTTACGGAACTGGACTGGGCAGCCACAGGGACTCGGAAAGTAATGACGCAGGCAAGTGTGAACTGAAGATAAAGGTCTACAGTCAGCATATCTGGATCTCACCTGAATATGTAAGGGTTTCACAGATTTTGCAAGCTGGATTTACATGCCTCTGTCAGGCAGAAAATCACAAGCTGGACAAGATGGTGGAGAATTTTGAAATAAATTTAAGTATTTTGCTGATTTTTGTACAAATATATTGTCCCCAAGAGCTGATATGCCCTACTTTGAGTTGCATCAGGCAACATTCTTCATAGGAAACAGTCCTGTTCCGAAAATACTTAAGTCAATGAACTTGGACCCATCAATTCTCTAACTCCATAAAAAGACCAAAACAAGAACTGAAGACTAAATATTTTCCAAGCAGTGTTTTTCAAATTGTGGTCTAGGGACCACTAGGATCTCTGCAAAAGATCAAACCACAGTTGGGAAAATTATGGCAAGATTGAAATAAAGAACTAAAATCTATGCACAGAGATTTCAGCTCATGTAAACATATAAACAATATTGGAGAAAAGGAAAGTAATAAAGAAATGTCCAAAGTTTAGCTTAGTAAATTAGGGGAGCCTCCTATTAATAATGTTAAAGAGCAAATTTTTTAAACTAAAATATATACAATTCTACAGTTTTGTGGTAGGTGTTTTTACAGGTGCCCAAGCACCACAGGCTCCTTTCCTCTGCCAAATTCAATCCTGAAACAATAACAGTGGCTGCAACAGTACAAGAACAACAACCAACCACTTTTGGAGATGAAGAGAAGTAACTAGTTGACTGAAAACTGAAAGGGAGAGAAAGGAAAATTTAGACTGAGCTCACGATTTGATAGAGTTTACAGATCTAACTGTAATTTTAAAGCCATGGTGTGGCTCTCTTCATAGAAAACCATTTAAAGTCTCCCTTTTTGTGTGTCAGGTGAAAGATCTGAAAAATAAAAATAAAATGATGAAAAAAGGGTACCTGCTGCAATCTTATGCACTTCTATACAAACCACAAGGGAGGGGAAAAAATGCTTAGAGGTTCAAGAAAGTATGTAGGGCAAAGTTAATAAAGGGAAATAGGAAAGCTATATAATGATTATCCCATGTCCACCTCTTAGCTAGACTTATTCATGAGAAACTGGAGTCTATATTCCATCTTTATATCTGTGTGCCTATGATGCCAAAAACTCTGCTACCCAATATATGCAGCAATCTTAACATGTGTCACACCTCTCAAATCTTAAGATTGCTATCCTACAAACTTTGGAGACTAGGCCTCCCAAATCCTCCCGAACTGCATAAGACAATCAAAGTCCTTGTGCAGATTAAATGGACTTGACTTACAGTAATTACTGTGCAGAGCATATTTTTCCACCATAGGAAATCGCTATTCCACATGGAACTTTGGCAGAGGCAGCTCTTGCATTCTTCAAATCATGCAAAAGGAGAAGATTGAAGATTGCAGAACTGAAAATAGGTGAAGAGAGATTTTCACCACAATAGAAGGACTGGAGCAGCTGAGTACAGTCCTGGGACTTCAGGTCAATTGCCGGGGAGATGCTGGTGGTTAGATGACAGTCATGCAGGACTGTCTCAATGTACAATGCTTCTCATGCTTCTCTGTCTCTGCAGAGTGTGGTTGGATAGCAGTATGGTCAGACATAGCAAATAAAACTAGGTTTAAGAGATAGAAACGAAAAAAGAAAGAAAGAAAAAAAAGTGCTGGGCTTGTTTGAGGAGTCTTTCTCCTAATCAGGTTGGAAGAAGGGCTGAGAGAAAGGGGAAATGCTTACCCATGAACCCTGACATCAACAGCTATTTAGTACAAAAATCTGTTACTTCTGTAATAAAGAGTACAAAAAACTCCAGCATTTTTCTGCCACTTTCTGCATTTTTCTGCATTGCAACTTTCACTGTAGTTCTCATCTCTTGACCCTTGCTGTTAACAAAAGCTAAGCTCTTTGCATCGGTAGATTTTTTTTCTTGTATGTGATTAGCACATTTTGGATGCTAACTGCTGGTGGGACACATCCTTTAATGGCTACCTGAACTTCCCCAGAGCTATTTGGCACATCTCTGACTGCAGTCTTACTACCTTCCAATTACTGCCAAAACAAACATGCATGAGAACTGTTTTCAACAATATTCAGTCTCTTTTTTGAAGGCTTGTATAGAAATTAGTGCTGCAAAGTTTCCTGGACACTAGTGGTATGTGCTATGAACTTAATTGCCCTTAAACAAACCACCAGAATGAAAGAGGAACTGTACACCTAAAAAAAAAAAATATTTCAAGATAGGGCAGGGATACAGAAATAAGAACTACATATTTTGGCAGAGAAACCATCAGAAATAGCAGGAAAAGTCAAAATGATACTATATCAGAT